AGCCCCACGAGTGGCCCCGTCCCAGCCAACTCCTGGAGGGCCTGGGGGAGCAGCTGCAGGCAGTGGTGTGGTCAGCTCTGGGGGGGACCCCAACACGATGTGGGTGCAGGCAGGCGCTGGGAGCTTGGAGGCATCTGGAGTCCAGAGACGGAGGAACCAAGGCCAGACCTGGAGGAACCTGAGACCCCTGGTAGAACCTTTCAGAGGAGGGTGCTGGGTTATTCTGGATCAGGCGTCCCATCAGACTTGCAGTCAGCTTGGGCCGTGGAAGGTCCTGCAAGGTGACAGCTGCAGGTGCGAGACCCCTGTGTGGTGCACACAACCCCCAGATGGTCCTGGGCAATGGTGGTGAACAAGGGGGTGCCCACCCCCTATATCTCCCAGGCACCCATGGGGTACAGATGACCCACACTGGCACTGTGATGGGTGCTGGGGAGGCAGAGGTACAGGGCACAGCCCCTGCCCCAGGGGTGGCAGAGTCAGGGTGGGGGTCATGCACCAAAGCAGTGAGAGGTGACAGTGTGCATCATGGAGCCACGAGGCATCTCACTGTGGACTCAGGGAGGCTTGCAGGGACCACCCTTTCCTTCAGATGGACACCCCTGGGGAGGATGAGGGCTCACCTAAGCATGGTGTCGTGGTGACTGCGTGTCACCCCCAGGGGCAGTGCAGGGACAGTGGGGATCCAGGACCAGAACTGTGATCTCTGTCCCTCCCTGCAGACCCTCCTGGAGGCAGTCATAGGCTTCCAGGAGCAACTGTCTCAGTTTTCCTTCCATGCTCATCCAATACTATTATTTAGGCAATTTTATTTTTTGAGACGAGGTCTTACTCTGCTGCCCAGGCTGAAGGGCAGTGGTGCGATCACTGCTCACTGCAACCTTGACCTCCCAGGCTCAAGCAATCTTCCTACTTCAGCCTCCTGAGTAGCTGGGACTATAGGTGTGTGCCACCACGCCCAGCTAATTTCTTTTTTTTTTTTTTTTTTTTGTAGAGATGGCATCTCACTATGTTGACCAGGCTGCTCTCGAACTCCTGGGCTCAAGCTATCCTCCTGCCTCAGCTTCCCAAAGTGTTGGGATTACAGGCATGAGCTACTGCACCTGACCTTATTGATGTGATTTTAAAATTTCTTCTTTTTGTACTGAAATATTTTATTCAGTAGCAGTGCCGAGAAGTCCTGAGTGTGACATACTAGATTGTGTGGTTGTTCCTGCTTGGAAAGATCAGATGCTGAGAAGCTGTGGTGGCCCCAGAGAAAGGGCAGGGTTGGGTCTGTTCAGCCTCAGGTGCTTCATTGCCGGCCCTAAGCATGGCGAGTGGGGTTCAGAGCAACAGCACCTCGTGGGTGGAACACCCCAGGTTCCTTCCTGTCTCTCCTGTGGTCCTCAGCTTATGAAGCTCCAAAGCCACAAACTGGCCGTTTCCGCTCCACTGTGGACAGTGCCTGGCCTTCCTGCCTGCGGGCAGCTCACAAGGGGCGGGAACATGGGGAGATCACATCAGTGGGGGGACATAGTGCCTTCCTGCTTCTTGGGGAAGCTGATTGATCCCTCCAGCAGATAAGTTCCTCTCTAAGTGGAAATGTCTTACACTGCTTATCATGAAGGTTTCCAGGCATTCCTAGAAGTAGGAGGAACCGACGTGATTGCCTGGAAGCACTGTGTCGTGATGATTGTGTGGAACCGTGTCATGATTGTGTGGAAGTGCGGTGTCACGGTGATTGCGTGGATGTGTGGTGTCGTGGTGATTGCATGGAAGTGTGGTGCCGTGATTGCGTGGAAGTGTGGTGTCTTGATTGCGTGGAAGTGTGGTGTCATGGTGATTGTGTGGAAACGTGGTGTCTGAAAAGCGTGGTGTTGCGTGGAAGCGTGGTGTCATGGTGATTATTGGCCAGAGCGTGGTGTCTGCGTGGAAGCGTGGTGTCATGGTGATTGCGTGGAAACGTGGTGTCTGCGATAGGCGTGGTGTCATGGTGATTGCGTGGAAAGCGTGGTGTCTGCGTGGAGGCGTGGTGTCATGTTGATTGCGTGGAAACGTGCGGTGTCTGCTGCATTGAAGTGTGGTGTCATGGTGATTGTGGAGGCTTGTGGTGTCTGCGTAGACGTGGTGTCATAGTGATTGCGTGGGGAAAGCGTGGTGTCTGCGTGGGCGTGGTGTCATGGTGATTGTGTGGGAGAGCGTGGTGTCTGCGTGGAAGCGTGGTGTCATGGTGATTGCATGGAGGCGGCGTGGTGTCTGCGTGGGCGTATTGGTGTCATGGTGATTGTGTGGAAACGTGGTGTTGCGGTGATTGCATGGAAACATGTCTGCATGGAAGTGTGGTGTCATGGTGATTGCATGGAAGCATGGTGTTGTGATTGCGTGGAAGCGTGGTGTCATGGTGATTGTGTGGAAACGTGGTGTCTGCGTGGAAGCGTGTCAGGGTGATCGTGTGGAAGCGTGGTGTCACGGTGATCACGTGGAATCGTGTCACAGTGATCGTGTGGAAGCATGGTGTCGTGGTGATCGGCGCATTGAAGCGCTAAGTGCAAGTGTGGTGATCGCGTGGAAGCGTGGTGTGCATTGATTGCGTGGAAGTGTGGTATCATGTAAATCTCACAGTGATGGGCACGCTGCTTGCACAGCTAATCTGCACTTTTGCAGGAGTACTTTTTTTAATTACCAGACCTCATGATCCTCCACATCTAAATCTGTCAGAATGCATCGGTGTCATGGTGATTGTGTGGAAACGTGGTGTCTGCGTGGAAGCGTGTCAGGGTGATCGTGTGGAAGCGTGGTGTCACGGTGATCACGTGGAATCGTGTCACAGTGATCGTGTGGAAGCATGGTGTCGTGGTGATCGCGTGGAAGCGTGGTGTCGTGGTGATCGCGTGGAAGCGTGGTGTCGTGATTGCGTGGAAGTGTGGTATCATGTAAATCTCACAGTGATGGGCACGCTGCTGCACAGCAATCTGCACTTTTTGCAGGAGTACTTTTTTTAATTACCAGACCTCATGATCCTCCACATCTAAATCTGTCAGAATGCATCACCCTCAAAAGCACATTTTGGGCAGAGCGCAGTGGCCCACGCCTGTCATCCCAGCACTTTGGGAGGCCGAGGCAGGTGGATCACCTGAGGTCAGAAGTTCAAGACCAGCCTGACCAACATAGTGAAATCTCGTCTATACTAAAAATATAAAAATTAGCCAGGTATGGTGGCAGGCACCTGTAATCCCAGCTACTGGGGAGGCTGAGGCAGAAGAATCACTTAAACCCAGGAGGCAGAGGTTGCAGTGAGCCGAGATCATGCCACTGCTCTCCAGCCTGGGCAGTGGAGGAAGACTCTGTCGAAAAAAAAAATCAAAACTATATGATAAGAAATAGATAGCAAACTCACAAACTCACACTCCCAGCTCTGACCTTGACCCCATTCCTCCCCTCTAATAATGATGATCATTTTTATTAGTTTTTGGTTTATCCTCATGTTTCTTTCTGCAAACATGAGCAAATACGTATACAAATCATATTTTTCTCCCTGTTTTGCACAAAAGGTGCACACTATGTGGGTTGCTTTTTTGGCCACCAGTAGATCCTGGAAACCTCTCCTCTTCAGCACACACAGGTTGTTCTCATTCTCTTTACAGCTGCAAGTGTCTCCCCGTGCAGATGTACTGCAGGCCGTGCAGCCAACCATAGCTGATGGATGTTTGGGTCGTTTCCAGCATATTGTCTCTGTGTATACTACACAATGAATACTCTGATGCATATGTTACTTTGCACATATCTAAGCAGAATTTTTAATGCAATTGCAACACATTGTATTGTGTTTTTTTCCAGTGAGACTGTTGCAAGCTTTGCCACTGAATGTCTCAGGGCCCCAAGCTGTTTCCATGTAATTTCCTTCCCTCCCCAAAATGTGTAGGAAAGGCTTGAGCGAAGCTTTTCTGGTAATACAGCATCACTGCAGAACTGCAGCTCTAGCGTTTATCAGCCTGGGTCCTGGTGCACCAGAAGGGCACCACAGAATTGTGTGGATGCAGGGGCCAAGTGCAGCAGTGATGGGAGCTGCAGACCTGGCATGGTGGTGTCTGGGGCTGCGGTAACAAATTACCACAAACCAGGTGGGTTACAACAATAGAACTGTCTTCTGGCCCAGCTCTGGGAGTCAGAGACATAAATTCGAGGTGCCGGTAGGAACGGTCTCGCTTGGGAGGTTCTAGAGGAGAACCCGCTGCCTGCCTCCCTCCTGTTTCTTGGCCTGTAGCTGCCTCACTCCAGACTGCACCTCCGTTGCCACATGGCTCCTCCCTGCACTTGTGTGTCTCAAATATCTCTCTCCCTTTCTCTCTGTTTTGAAATTTTGGAGAGCCTCGCTCTGTCACCCAGGCTAGAGTGCAATGGTGCGATCACAGTGCACCACAGCCTCAAACTGCTGGGCTCAAGCGATCCTCACACCTTAGCATCCCAAAGCCCTGGGATCACAGGCATACATGACCACACCCAGCCCTGCCTGTCTCTTATGAGGGCCTCTGTCTTTAACTTACATGTACAAAGACCCTATTTCCAAATAAGGGCCCATTCACAGGTCCCAGGTGGACATGTCTTTTGGGGGCCGCCATTTGACCCCCTGCACCTGGTGAGGCCCCCCGGCCAACAACATCAGGAGCCTTCCCCACACTAGGCTCAAAGGAGGAAGGTAGGGACGGGGTTACCAGGCCAGGAAGAGGGACTGGAGTCCCCCAGGAGGAGCCCAGCTTCTGCCTTAGCACAGCATTGGACAGGGGCTGGGAGGCCTAGACCCCCTTCCTCTCTCCTCCCATCAGGAAACCCAGCAGGAACCAGAAGATAAGGGTGCCTGGGAGATGCGACCTTTTGGGGCCTCCAGGCTAAAAAGCAGGGCAGAGAAGAGCTGGACATGGTTCAGGGAGGGCTGGACACCAACCTTCCCACGTGTCCCCCCATGCCCGCCCCCCCGGAAGCTGCGCCAGGTCACTCCCAGCCCCGATCTGTTGTTCCAGGCAGTCGACTACGAGCTCAACAGAGCCTTCATGCTCACGGTGATGGTGTCCAACCAGGCGCCCCTGGCCAGCGGGATCCAGATGTCCTTCCAGTCCACGGCAGGGGTGACCATCTCTGTCATGGACATCAATGAGGCTCCCTACTTCCCCTCAAACCACAAGCTGATCCGCCTGGAGGAGGGCGTGCCCCCTGGCACCGTGCTGACCACGTTTTCGGCTGTGGACCCTGACCGGTTCATGCAGCAGGCTGTGAGGTAGGTCCACAGGACACGCCTCGTCCCTGCCTGCAGCTTCCCGGGTTCCACACAGAAGGGTCCAGAAATACCCCCATGAAACCCACAGCCCAGAATTCCCCCAGATGGGTGGTCAGGGGCATCCCCAACCTGAGGCACCCTCCAGGAGGGAGCAGCAGCCCTTAGTCCCGGATAGCCCGATGCAGCCCCTGACCAATCATGAGCGTTGTGACCGGCGCTTGCACATTCAGCACCGTCCAGATGCAGGCCGGCCCCGATCCTGGCTGCACTCTCATAGCCGTGAGACTCAGCAACCTCCTGCCCTTTCTGTTCCTCAGTGTCCTTGTCCGTTCAATGGGGACGATGAGGGCATCTGCCCACTGGGTCCTTCTGAGTTGAGGCCACCCACTATTGGATGAGCTCAGTGCCCGTAGGCCACAGGCCTGTCCTGTGAGGTGGAGGGGAAGCCCTAGAGGAGGACAAGGCCTGGGGGTCTCCAAGGAGACGGAGACACTGGCCCAGGCCCAGGCCCAGGCCCTGGAGGTGTGGCCAGTGCAGCTGCCTGACCGGGGCCACAGAGACCTGGGATCCCGGGTGGCCCCGCCCACCCCAGCCTTACCTCCCCCCGCACTTGTGGTCTCCACAGATACTCAAAGCTGTCGGACCCGGCGAACTGGCTGCACATCAACACCACCAACGGCCAGATCACCACAGCAGCAGTGCTGGACCGCGAGTCCCTCTACACCAAAAACAACGTCTACGAGGCCACCTTCCTGGCAGCTGACAATGGTGTGCCCCCCCCCCCCAGGAGGCAGCTGTCTCGGTGGCCTTCCCACGTCCTAGTTCTGTGGGCGAGGGAGGGCACTGGCCAGGCCCCGAGAGGGCAGCAGGCATCCAGAGGGTCACCCGGAGGGGCTGAGGGGACGTCTGCACAGACAGCGGTGATAGCGGTGATCAGGGTTGCATCATCTCAGGGCCCCCAGGCCATGCTCCACCTCCACCCATTCCCGTGTCAGTCATTGATTCCGCCCCCTCCCCAGCATTCACTTGCTTGCTCGAAGGTGTGCCCCGTCCATTCCCCCAACATCACTCACCCACAGGCTCCAGGGGCATCAGGGCACTGGTCATCCCAGACTTGTCCTTGCTGCACTCTGCAACCTGAACTGCATCTCAGTTTTGCTGCCTGTAAACTGAGGCATTGGAACCAGGTCCACAGTTTTCAAATGCTTTTAGCCGGCTGCCCTTGCCACAAACCCCGTCCTGTGGGGAAGGCCCAGCCCCACTGGTCAGCAGCCCCTGGGGTGCCACCCTCGTGGCTCTGACCACCCACAGCGCAGACCCCTGTGGCCCTCAGTCACAAACAGGAAGCATGAGACCCTCCAGGACCCTGGGAGTCCAGAGGGCAGCGGCAAGGTCCCGGAACAGGTGGCACGGCAGATGACCTCAGGAGCCTGGATGGGAGGACAAGGATAGGCTGTGCAGAGGCAGCAGGAAGAAGGTTTGAGAGCACGCGGGGCTTTCTGAGGGACATGGGCTGGCATCTCAAGGAGTGGCCACCCCTTCCTGGACCAGCAGTAAACCCGCGAGCTGGCCGAGCCCCCCACGGGTCACATGCTCTCAGGCATGGAGGCAGGGTGGGTGGGAGCAGAGATTCTAAAACCGAGGATCAGTCCAGTACCACCGCTTACCAGTGGGAAAAGACCTGACCGCTCTGTGCCTCAGTTTCCTCCTCTGCCAAGTTGTGGGAGTCTTAGTACCCCTGAGAATCAAACGAGTCTGAGTCATCAGAGCACTGAGGAAGGGCCTGACTCAGGGCAGCATGGGCTCCTGTTTGCTGTGGCCGTGATGACTGCCCGGCCTGCTGTTTGCTGAGTACCGGCCGAATGCCTGCAGCTGCTCATCGGTGAGCAGCACACAGCGACGCCCAGCCCTGGCGTGGCTGACAGCCCGAGTGTGTCGGCTGGAACCCAGGTCAGTGAATACCAATGGAGGAAACTGCAGCACGATTGAGGCTTTTTTTCTCTCACGTCCAAGAAGCCTGGAGGCAGGCAACCCAGGGGCAGATCCCAGACCCGGGGCTCCGACTGTGCCATGGCATGATCCAGAATGGCTGCTGGAGCTCCAGCCATCACAGCCACGTTCTAGCAAACAGAAGGCCTTGTGGGAGGGCACAGGCACACACCTGCTCTACTAAGGACTTTCAGGAAGCCCCATGCAAGTCCTCCACCCACAGCTCACAAAGCCCAGAACTTACTGATGCCGCCACCCCTAGCTGCAAGGGATGCTGGGAAATGCGGTCTTCTAGGTGGACAGTGATGATCCCAGACAAAATGTAGGACTCTGATTATTTTATTAAAAGGAAGCAGAAAATGGATATTGGGGATGACTCAGCAGTGTCTGCCCCAGGGAGACCGGAGAGAAACCAGTCACACAGATGATTCAGGCAACAAGAAGAGCTGGGAGAAAACAAAACCAGTGGCTGGGAGGCAGTGACCAGGGGCTCCGCCCTGAGGAGCTGACCTTGGGACCAAGAGCTGTTGAACCAGAGGAGCAAGCAGGGGAAGGTGGGGTGGCAGAGGAGAGTCCCAGAGTCGGGAAACGGTGTGTGCAAAGGCCCCAAGGCAGGGCCATGCCTGGTGGGCTCTTGGAACAGCTGTGCATGAAGCCTCATGGGCAAGGGTCGTCACTGCACAACGTCAGACGTCACGCTCGTCCCATAGCAGGTGTAAACAGGACGTGGTCACCTCCCTGCCAGCCTCCCCAGCCATCGCTGCCTCCCCCGCCGGGATCCACAGAGCTGGGGCCATGTAGCTGTGCAGCTACCTGTGAGCCCAGGGCCCTGGTCAGGGGAAGCGTCTCCCCTTGACGGCCCTCCTGCGGCAGCTCAAGCCCTGAGGTTAAATTAGAAAGTGATTGTGAGCCTGGGCTGGGCCCAGTGGCGCACACCTGTAATCCTAGCACTTTGAGAGGCCAAGGCAGGTGGATCATGAGGTCAGGAGTTCAAGACCAGCCTGGCCAACGTGGTGATACCCCATCTCTACTAAGAAAATACAAAAATTAGCCAGGCGTGGTAATGCATGCCTGTAATCTCAGCTATTCGGGAGGCTGAGGCAGGAGAATCACTTGAACCTGGGAGGCGGAGGTTGCAGTGAGCCAAGATGGCGCCATTGAACTCCAGCCTGGGCAATAGAGTGAGACTCTGTCAAAAAGAAAAGAAGAAAGAAATAAAAAGAGATTGTGAGGCCGTAGCTGGACGAAGCATCCATCGCATGTGGCAGATGCCATGTGAGTGAGCCTGGGTGTGCAGGCCGGAGTAGGAGCCCTTCAGTTAACAGAGAACCTGTCTGTGCTTCTCCGATCACAGGCTGTGCCCTCAGCGACATCTCAAAGCAGTTTTCAAAGGTAGCGCCGCCCTGCGTCCCCTTAAATGTGTTTTGATGCAGCTTCCAGAAGATTCAAGAGACATCCTGTGGGATATATTTTTACATGCTTCGCCTGCCTCAGTCAAGACACGTGGTTGTTAATGTCAGGTCAGGAGCTGCCATCAGGGGCAAAGCCACAGTCAGAACCTGCCGCTGCTGCCGCCGCCTCCAAGGCTGAAGAGCAGACAGGGCATCTCTGTCCCCAGATTCCGGCCACCTGGCCTGCATCCATCAGCACTGCTGGCCTGGGCTGAGGCAGGGGCTGAGCACGTGAAGGCCCCAGGGGCAGGGATGGCCCCTGAGGAGCTCTGGGGGCTCAGCAGAGCACCTCCCTCCATGCTGAGGCCAGAGGTCATCGGGTCCTCCAAGGAGACTTCCTGCCGGGCCAGGACGGAGCTTCCATCAAAGCTCATCGGGAGCGGCCGCACCTGCCTTTCTCACAGACACTTCCAAAGGCAGCAGTTCTTCCACGCGATCACGGGCTCAGGGCTTCCAGCACCCTGGGGCTCTGCTGGGTGGGGCCAGCAAAACTCCAGGAGGCAAGGAAAGGTTTTGCCCTAAGTCCCAGACGAGGGCAAGATGTGGTGGGTGGGTCCCAGCCCTCAGGGGCCAGTGCAGAGCCCAGCACCCTCAGAACCCCTCCCTGGCTCCCCCGTCCCGCGGGAAGTGAGATCCGCAGTGCGTGGCTGCTTTTCAAATATAATTGGCTCTAGGTTTAACTGTGCATTAATTGGGCGTGTGGCGAGGCTCCACGCAAATACGCACCGCTGTGTGTGCCATGCTCTGGGAGTATCTGTTGAGTGCACCACCGTGGCTGTGTGCGTGTGTGCAGCTGTGCCCAGGTGGTGTGGCCGTGTGCACTCGGTGTCTGTTGAGGTGCTGTGCACGGTGACTGTAGGTGTGTGCATGCAGCTGTATGTGAGTGTGGCCGTGTGCTCTGGGATGTCTGTTGAGATGCTGTATGCAGTGGCTGTGTGCGTGTCTGCAGCTGTGGGTGTGGGTGTAGCCGTGTGCTCTGCGGTGTCTGTTGAGGGTGCTGTACACACAGTGACTGTGGGTGTGTGCAGCTGCGGGTTGTGGGTGTGGCCGTGTGCTGCGGTGTCTGTTGAGATGTCATATGCAGGGTGTGGGTGTGGCCGTGTGCTCTGCGGTGTCTGTTGAGATGTCATATGCAGTGGTTGGCTGCCCATGGCGTGTGGCAGGGTGTCAGGAGCCATGGCTGGGCTATGGGTCAGTCCCTGTGCAGCTGTGTTGGGGGGTGGCCAGCCGTGTCCGGCTGGGGGGCTGTAGATGTGTCCCTGTGTATGTTGCGTGTGGTTGTTTGTGTGCGTGTCCTGTGTGGAGCTGTGGGTTGGTCATGGAGTACCAGGAGTGGTCCGCGTGGTGAACTGTGTCTGTTCTACAGGGATACCCCCAGCCAGCGGCACCGGAACCCTCCAGATCTATCTCATTGACATCAACGACAATGCCCCTGAGCTGCTGCCCAAGGAGGCGCAGATCTGCGAGAAGCCCAACCTGAACGCCATCAACATCACAGCGGCTGACGCCGACGTCGACCCCAACATTGGCCCCTACGTCTTCGAGCTGCCCTTTGTCCCGGCAGCTGTGCGGAAGAACTGGACCATCACCCGCCTAAACGGTGAGCCCGCCTTAGGCCATGGGGAGGGTCAGACCAGCCTGGGGTGCAGGCCCGTGGGAGACCCAGCTGGCCTTGGAACAGTGAACACCAGAGTTGGGCGACGGCCCTCCAGCAGGACTGTCCTGCCAAGGCTGGGGACACTGGCCACGCTTCAGCTGCTCAGCCTTCTTCACCTGGCCCTGAGGAGGCCACCAAGTCATTCCCAATTTCTTGCTGCTTTAATGAGCCCAGCCATGAACATCCTTGCAGCTCTGCCCATGTACATCCATGACAACTTCCTGTGCCAGTTATCAATTGACTGGACCCTGACCGATACGTTTCCTTAGAATACTTCCTTGGATGTGGATTTGTGGTATAAAAGGATATCAAATTCTCAAGTTCTGGCAGTACGGTGAAAATGTGCTCTAGACATGTCTACTTCCATCGGGAGAGTGCCTGTTTTGTCAAACCCTACCAACACTGAACGTTATTGTTTTAAAATAATATTGTATTCTGCCCCTTTGGGCCAAAGTCATTATTTCCATTTGTATATCTTGACTACCAGTGGAAATTTTTTAAAGATATTTATTGGCCATTTTTGTTCTTCTGTGAATTGTCTGCTCAATGACTTTGCTTATGTTTTCTTTGGGGAGTTTCTTTTTATTTATTTGGTAAAACTCTTTATATATTCAGGAAATTATTTCTTCATCCTACATGTTGCAATTGCTTTTTGGTTGTGTCTCCAATGTCTTTTTTTTTTTTTTTTTTTTTTTGAGACAGAGACTCACTCTGTTGCCCAGGCAGGAGTGTAGTGGCACAACCTCAGCTCTGCAACCTCCACCTCCCAGGTTCAAGCAATTCTCCCACCTCAGCCTCCCAAGTAGCTAAGATCACAGGCTCGTACCACACGCCAGGCTAATTTTTGTATTTTTTACTAGAGACGGGGTTTTGCCATGTTGACCAGGCTGGTCATGAACTCCTGACCTCAAGTGATCTGCCCACCTCAGCCTCCCAAAGTGCTGAGATTACAGGCGTGAGCCACCACACCCAACCTCCAATGTCTTTTAACTTAATGATGTAGCACAGGTGTATGTATGTGTGGTAACCAGACAGATATTTCAGATTTCCATGCCATTGGACTTAGTCTTTTCCTCTGGATGTCTTGCTTGGAAGGGAGGGCCAGGCTCTGGCTGAATGTTTACTGTTCCTTTGCACCAGGTGACTATGCCCAACTCAGCTTGCGCATCCTGTACCTAGAGGCCGGGATGTATGACGTCCCCATCATCGTCACAGACTCTGGAAACCCTCCCCTGTCCAACACATCCATCATCAAAGTCAAGGTGTGTCCATGTGACGACAACGGGGACTGCACCACCATTGGTGCAGTGGCAGCGGCTGGTCTGGGCACCGGCGCCATCGTGGCCATCCTCATCTGCATCCTCATCCTGCTGAGTGAGTGTGGCTGAGCACAGGGTGGGTGGGGGCATTGCAGATATGAGTGCCCTGTCCCAGGGATGGTGGGCAGAGTAGGGCCTGGGTTTCACCCTCAGCCCGCATCTCTCAGCCTTATCTGTCAGGAGCCCTTCAGAAACGCAGCTGAACTGGTCCATATGACAATGGGAAATTGGAGCCTCCCATTACTCTCAAGTCTGGAGGTGCAGGCTGGCCCAGGCATCTCCCATGGCCTGGCCCCTTTCCATGGCTCCACTCTGCCTTCCAGAGCCCCTGTATCCTGAAGCTGTTGCCCTCCAGGACCTGTGATGCCTATGGGCAGCTCCCAGGTGGACTTAGCAGAGGGAAGGTCAGCCCTGCCTGTTAGCATCCCCATCCAAAGTCCCAGGACACTCTCTGATTGGACGGGTTTGGGTCACATGCACACCTTGGAGCCAATCGCCAGCCAAGGAATGGAGTGTTCTCATTGGCTCTGCCCAGAGCATATGCTCTAGTAGTTTCCTGAGTTTCCCAGAACCACATGGGTTCCCCAGCAGGCCTGAGGGCTGGGGGGGTGCCAGGGGAGGTGCTTGAAAATGACCCCAGAGGTCCCTCTTCCCATCATCCCTCATGGACAGTCGCCCTGGTCTGTGATAGCCCAGGGATTCCAGTGGGAGGCAGGGCGGGGAAGGGTTCGGTCACCACCTCCCCAGTTCACACCCAAACCAGAGGGTCCCCCACCACGTCCAGAACAGGCTGAAGCAGGTGCCAGGCTCCTCCTGCAGACCTGGCCTGTGGCTGACTTAAGACCCCAGGGACCAACGTGAGCCCTGTCCAAAGGACATCTGAGTTATGAGGACTCTGCTTTTTTCCCCATTTCCAGACCTATCACCCCTCGAAAAGCCGGTTTTTAATTCTGAGGCTTGTTTTGAAAGCCGTTCAGTGTCATGGGCTCCTTTGTATGATCAGGAGTGGAAAGAGCCCCACAGAGGTTGGGAGGAGTCTCCGTAGCAAAGGTGGGGGCGTCCTCACCGATGTCCCCTGCTCTGAAGACACAGGGGCCAGGCCCAGCCAGAGGGCCCTCTGTGGGCAGGGCTGTGAGGCCTGATTCAGCCGGGTACCTGGCCGGGGCGGGAGACCTGGGCCACTCGCAGTGGAGGGCAGCCACAGTGGGGCCGGGGCCAGGGTCAGCAGCAGATCCGCCTGCTGCCCGGCTTCTGTCCATTCGTGGGCACCTCAGCCCTGGTAGGGTGAATGGGGGCACCCGGAGTGGCCTCCCCTACTCCACACTCCTTCTCTCAACCCTCACTCATCTTGTCTGCCTGGATGAGCCTGGGGTGCCAGCTATGAGAGTGGAGCTGACCCCTTCGAAGCTTCCCCTGAGCCAAGACTAGAGCAGGCTCCAGGTTCCAGGTTCTCACCGAGCCGTACCTGCAGCAGGTGGTTCCTCCCTCTGCCTGCCCTTCCCTCTCCACGATCTGGGCCAGGTCAGGAAGTATCCTCCAGCTGTCACCTCACCCTGAACAGGCAGGAGGGATGCCACCAGTACCCACAGAGCTCCTCCCGAGCCTCCGCTCAGCTTCAGAATCCTCCTCACGGCACTCAGGCAGCCACAGCCAGTTAATCGGGTTGACAAAAAACAGCCCTCTGACTGGGGTGTCGCCACCCCTCCCGCCTCCGGGCTCGCCCTCTGCAGTACATAAGAGCACATCTGTGACTTCTGGGACTCAGCTGTTACATCTGTGACGTGGGAGGTGATGGGAGGCTTCAGGAGGATGCAGTGGAGTGGTTTGTGCAGACATTTACTGGGGGCGTGGACTGCGTGACCTGCTCCTGGAGCCCATGCCCAGTGCATTGCCAGGCTTGCAGATGGGTGCGCCAGCTTTTTCCTGCAGCAGAGGCAGCCAGGGGTCCAGAGTGAGCAAGGCTGTTTAGGGGAGCCAGGCCTGGACACGGACCTCGGAAGGCAGGGGGAGGCCAGTTCAGCTTGGGGGAGAGGGTCCCCTCCATCCACCCCACAAGGGGGCTTTACCTCTCTTCATTTTCCACATGCACCTGAACTTCTAAGCCTGTCCCCCAACTCCTCTGGGTGGTGGAAAGAGCCCCTCTGAGTGACCCCTTGGTGCTGGGTGGGGCTGCCCTTCTGTCCAGCAAAGCCCTGGATTGACCCCGCCCCAAGGGCCCTCAGGAAGCAGGATCCCTGGATCCCCTCTCTGGGCCCCTCTCCTCCCCTGCCCCCTCCCAGGGCAGAGCCTCTTTCAATATGGGGGAGTCCATCTCCCTCCCTCAGTGATTCCTGCCAAGACACTGTGTGCCTAAAACCTCACTTCCACCTCCTTTGCCAAAGCTATCTCCCCTCCTGCTGCTCAGAAGAGGGACTCAGAAAGACTTGGGGGTGCACCCCTCAGCCCCCCATGTCCTCCTGCCCCCAGGCGGTGAGGGGCGCCCTGGGCTGGCTGCCTCCTCAAAAGGGGAGTGCAAGAGGAGGGCGAGTATGTAAATCAGTGTCTCAAAATGTAGCCCAGTGCCCAGGCAGTGAGCTGGGTAGAGGGCCTGAGCCAGTGCGGCTCTGCCTTGGAAACTCATGCACACACACACAGGCATGTACACATAACGTGGGCACACATGCAGAGACACGTGGGCACACATGCACTATGCACATGAACACATGCTTGCACTCACACCCCATGAGCATACACAGACACACGAAGTACACATGAAGACATGCACAGACATGCACACACAGACCCGTGCAGACTTCTGTGTGCACATACACACACAAACACACGAGCACACACATACACAGATCTACATGCTCGCACAGGCACACGCATGTGCAAGGCTTCATAGACATATTCCTGTGGATACATGTATGCATGGTTACACAGACATGCATGACACATCTACATCCACAAATGCACACGCACGTCGGCAGCACATGTGCACAGACCTGTGTCCCTGCACACCCAGGCCTGCATGTGCAGAGACACATGTGCGTGTGCAAGCAACACGGGCACAGAGTCATGCTTGGGTGCCACCTGCATGCACATGCCCACACAGACACATGGCAAACAGGCATGCGTGTACACACATGCGGCACACCCACACACCCTGCTCACGGGCGGCCGTCCCCCGCAGCCATGGTCCTGCTCTTTGTCATGTGGATGAAGCGGCGGGAGAAGGAGCGCCACACGAAGCAGCTGCTCATTGACCCCGAGGACGACGTCCGCGACAACATCCTTAAGTATGATGAGGAAGGTGGCGGCGAGGAGGACCAGGTGAGACCATGGCCCGCCTCTGCCTCCCCACAGGAGGCCAGCTCTCGCGTGCACCAGTGTCTCAGCAGGGCTTGCCCTCGGGTTTTAACAGTAAGACATTTCAACCTTTTTCACCAGTGAGGGCGCCAGGCAGGGGAGCAGTTTCCTAGTCCGACCGCCCTGCCCACGTTTGCATGTCTAGCCTGGGCTGAGCTGTGTACACTGCACCTGCATCCCCCACAGGGGATCCTGGGACCCCTCCCATCCTCTCGCCTTCCTCCCTCCCACTGCCGGCCCCAGCCCAGTGCTGCCCCATGCCCTGGAGGGGAGGGGGCTCTGGGTTGGCCAAGGATACCGATGCCCACTCACCTGATTGCTGCTGTGTGCGGGGTCTGTCGAGTGACCAGGGGCAGTGGCCCGGGAGGGTAGACTATGAGAGCTGCTGGTTGGAATCTGGGTCTGCCCTTGGCCTTTCACGGAATCGGGGCAAGTCCTTAAACCCATCTAAAGTTCAGACCCCTCCCCACCCACAACACAACCATAACGAGTGTGAGGAACGTGCCTTTCGGAGACCCAGCTCCTGGCCACCTGAGCACGCGGGGCACATGGTCAGTGAGCAGCGTGGTGGTGGGGTCACTCGGGGAGAGCCCCAGGCCATGGAACACAGCCAGGCACAGCCCCCATCCCTGCTCAAGGGCTTGGGGTGAAGGGCGAGGAAGTGGGGCATTGTGGAGGGGCACAGCAGGGAACAGCATGGTTCTGTGGGATGCTTGGAGACCAGGCCACAGGGCAGCGGGCAGCGGGCGCATCTGTGGCCCAGGTCACAGAACAGGATGCAGGGCGGAAGAGGGGCTCGGCGGATTCTTGTGGTGCCCCTGACTCCTCCCGGCTCCCTCCTCCAGGACTATGACCTCAGCCAGCTGCAGCAGCCGGAAGCCATGGGGCACGTGCCAAGCAAAGCCCCTGGCGTGCGTCGCGTGGATGAGCGGCCGGTGGGCGCCGAGCCCCAGTACCCAGTCAGGCCCATGGTGCCGCACCCAGGCGACATCGGTGACTTCATCAACGAGGTGTGTGCCCCTCAGCAGTGGGGGTCCCGGGCAAGGTGTCTCCTCTAAAACTAAAATTCTAGTAGCACACAAACAGCAGCCATCTCCACAGTGCTGGTAGCCGCCGTGGGGAGGAGGCGGCTCAGACCCGGGTTCCAGGCCCAGCCCTGCCCCTCCAGCTGGGTGGCCTGGGCAAATCACCTCCCCCAGCCAGCCCTCTTTCCAAGGACGAGGATTCCTACCTGTGAGCCAGGCGAAGGATCAACACACAGGGCGGTGTTCAGCCTCCTCCACACCCCCCTCACCCTCCCCCAAAACCCCCTCACCCTCCCCTACACCCCTCACCCTCCCCCACACCCCCTCACCCTCACCCACACCCCCACCTCCCCCCCACCTTCCTCCCCCTCCCCACACCCCCCTCACCTGCCCTTGGGTTGGGAGGAGCTGAACTCCAGCCACAGGCCCTACCCAACCCTCCATCTCCCCTGCCCACAGGCCGCTGCTGGATTTGAGTTTGCCCCTCCAACACTCCCACGCTCCGTCTTCACAAATGCCCTTTCCTTCCTATGCAGAAATGCCCTTCAGTTAAATGCAGAGAGCACTTATTGGACACCTACTGTATGCAACATCCTACCTCCCCACCTCTTCTTCTGGGCCCCGCTTTCCGTTCCATCAGATCCCAGGGCTGAGACAGTGCGCCCTGCACTCTAACCCTGTGTCTGTGACCTCCAGGGACTCCGCGCTGCCGACAACGACCCCACAGCACCCCCCTATGACTCCCTGCTGGTCTTCGACTACGAGGGGAGCGGCTCCACCGCAGGCTCCGTCAGCTCCCTGAACTCATCCAGTTCCGGGGACCAAGACTACGATTACCTCAACGACTGGGGGCCCAGATTCAAGAAGCTGGCGGACATGTACGGAGGCGGTGAAGAGGATTGATGACCTCGCGTCTTCGCACCGAAGTGAGAGCCACACTCGACGCCGGAGGAGCAGGACTGAGCGGAGGCGGTCGGTCTTCCCGACTCTCCCTGCGGCCGTGTCCTTAGTGCTGTTAGAAGGCCCCCCCCACCCCCACGTTGAGCTGTCTAGCATGAGCACCCACCCCACGGCGCCCTGCACACGGCCGCTGCCCAGCACCGCGCCGGCTGGCACTGAAGGACAGCAAGAGGCACTCTGTCTTCACTTGAATTTCCTAGAACAGAAGCACTGTTTTTAAAAAAACAAAAAAAGAAAAAAGAAAAGAAAAGAAAAAAAGAAAAAAAAAAGAAAGTGCCTTTTGGTACATGTATCAGATTCCCTCAAACTCAGGAGTGACTAAAGCTGACAGACCGTCCCCACCTTCCTGTCCCGAGCGGCCTCTGACCCCAGCTAGTCCCAGCTCTGAAGGCATCATTCAGAAATGGGGGAGACTGTGTCTTTCTTTCTTTCTTTCTTTCTTTCTTATTTTGGTCTTTTATTAAGAAAAAGAAAGTGGGTGACTTGTTTGAAAACAGAGTGGGATTCAAATCCCAGCAGCCTTTGCTGTACACATTTGGCCGGGGGGGGCACGGGGCGTCTCTTGGGTCTCTTGGGATTCGAGGCAAACCGGAGGCTTAGCCTTCAGCCCCAGCAGCAGAAAGCCCTGGGGCCAGTGTGGCTCAGACTACCCCCCGCCTTGTGGCTGCTTCCCACCCTCTCCTGGATGCTGTGAGGAGCTCAGGCCGGGGGCTGGAGAGGAACAGGGGTCATCCTGGGTGTTCCCCATCTCTGCCCCTGGCTGCCCCCAGGGCTCCACCCCCAGTCAACCCAGGCCTCTGTCAGGGCCACCTGTCACCCCGAGTGCCACCAGATCCCCTCTGCCTTTGGTCCAGAAGAGTGAGTTTTCCAAACCAGCCAGCGGTCTGGTCACCAGGCTGGCTCCAGCCCTCCAACCTGGTGACCAGACCGCCTGGGGCGCCATCAAAGGCCCCGCAACATGCATCAATTCAAACCCCAGGACACGCTTGACAGCTCCAACCATCCAGGGGGCTGTGCAGATGGCAGGAACCGCGGACCCTCCCTGGCAGGGGGAGAGGGTGTGGTGACCAGAACCACACCCAGCAGCCTGCGCAGCCTCCCCGTCCCCACCCTGTGTGCTTCTGATACCTGCCAGATGCTCGTGGGCCTGTGTGGGTGGCAGGAGGCCCCGTCTTGGTGTGTCTACCTGTCGCACAGATGCCTCTGCACACTGCAGACGGTGCCTCCCCTCTCCTATGGGCCCACGTGGGGGGCAGGCAGCGGCGGGTCCGGCCTTGCTGCTGTCCTCGAGGCTGGCACTGCTCTCTCCAGGGTGGATTGACTCAAGCCAAACGGGAAGGAATCAGTCCTGCAAGACAGTCAGAGGGGCTGTGTCCGGGGACCCCTGGGATAGCGCTCGGCTGCCTGTGTTCACTGCATGAGAAAACTCGGAGGGTGCATTCTCCCTCTGGCATGTGTCTGGGTGCCTCGGGCTGGGGCAGGAGGCAGGCCCCATGTGGGGAAGCCTCGTGCTTGTCAGCTTTCTGTCTCTCCCAGGCCAGTGACAACTGGCTTCCCAAGGAAGGAGGTGAGGTGCCAGGGGTCCCGGGCAGGACCTGGTGTCAGGTAGGGCGGTGCCAGCACTGGGGAAGGACCGGGAGCCCTCCCGGAGCCCCGCCCTGCACCTGCCACTGGGGTCAGAGAGTGTCTCGGGGTGCCTGGGGGGGCAGCATGCGCTCCACCGGGAACCCGGGACCCCCTCAGCCTGTGGCTCTTCCCCATGGCTAAGGTCACACCTTTTCTGAACAGCTTTGGCCTTGAGTGCACACATCTGTGCCAGGCTCACAGCACATTCCCGTTGGACATCAGGGTCCTTACCCAAACCAAACTCACAGCCACCCTTGCGCAGCCTTCAGAGTCGAGCTGGGGTCCCAGTCTCCAGCTCTGTCCGTTCCGACCCTCCCATGGCTGCCCAGGGAGGGCGGAGTTCACTGTGCCACGTGCTGGGTGCCCCCCTCTGCAGCCAGCCAGTCCAGGAGATGGACCAACAGAGGTCAAGGGGCAGCCGGCTGGGCTGCACCGGGGTCCCCCAGTTCTGAGCTGTGCTATGCAAACAAGAATGCTCCTGAGTGTGTGGGGCATGGCCATTGGAGGGACGGCTGGGCAGCTAGTGGAAGGACTGGAAGTCTCTGCTGTTTGGGGAAGTCTGGCCTCCAGTCCTGAGGAGTGTGTGTGGATTGTTCTAAGTGTGACTATGACCTGGGAGCCAGGGCAGCATGAACTCCTTTCTCTGAAATTTTGAGGCCTCCTTGGGTTCCCTGAACCCTGGGCTGGCGTTCCCAGGACCCAGCACCAGGAGACCCCAGTCCCGCCAGCACCGCCGTGCTACCCAGGAGGGCTGGGCGATGTTGGTGCCGCCTCCCACCAGCTCCCCTCCTCTCCCACAGCCTCTTGTCACTGCCAAGTCCCCCGTTCATTTTGCCCAAATCACGCAGGCTGAAGCTGCAGTGCCAGCTGGAAGGACGTTCGCAGGGCTTCCCGTGCCCATCCCTGCTTCCAGACAGCTGGACAGCCTCCCCTTTACCCCCCACCCCGGTGAGCCCCTGGGGGCCAGAGAAAGATGGGGTTCCCGCAGCTTCCCAGCTCCACCTCTGAACTTGAGTTAGCATTAGCTAAGCATACAATCAGTGTCGAACGTCTCTCTTCCTTAGCTTGTAGATACAACTGTCTATAACCAGGGGACCCCTGCTGGAAGCTGGGAGGCCAATGCTGGCCGGGTGCGAGGGCATGGATTGGTTCCTTTAGGGAATTTTTGTTCTGCAAACAGGAGAAACCTGGGCTGCAGGTGGGAGTGGCAGGAACGACTGGCCTTGGTCAGCAGGCAGCCCCCAGCCCAGGACCACAGTGCTCTTCAGGGCCTGGGCAGCCCCCGTTTCTGGCCCAGCAGGTTTCTCTTTCTAGTGTCTTTCAGCACATCCAAAATGCTAGGCCTCCCGCCACCAACGTGTCAGAGCAATGTCCAACTATCAGGCTCTCAGAGATGCCTCAGTTTCCCTAGCGTGAGCACCAGCTGACACACACAGTCCACTGAGATGAGAATTCTGTTCTCTCCAAAGCAAAAAGCTGGGCGAGGGGAAGTCTCAGTTTCTGTCAGTGCTCAAAGGAATAACACCAAAAGAATCAACACAAAATCTCCCAGACACACGTGACCCAGCTCACAGTGCCGTGGGTCCGTAGGAGGGACAGCACCTCGCAACAGGCCCAGCGGGGGACCGCCTCTCTGTACAATTGGAACGTGTTTTACTTTTCTTTTCTCTCCTTTTTTCATTCTGATTTTTTTTTTTTTTTTTTTTGCATGTTTCTTTTTGAAAATGGACAAAATGTGCAGCAGCCCGCATGACCACAGTTGTTTTGGGGAAAGATACTGAAGTATGATGTACTCACACCTGCAAATCTGAGCATCGCGAGGTTAGACAAACGTTCCACCTTTTTTTGTAATCGTCAACAGCACAACTATTTTGTATCGTTGTTTGTATCATTTTGTACCAAAAAAAAAAAAAAAAAGGAAAAAAAAAAGGGAAGCGAGTTGATGTTTTCAGTGTGTTTCTAGTGCCACACAGTCTTGGTCCCGAACTGAGTGGACTCTTGTGGAGCGGCTGTGCGCGGGCAGGCGGGGCCGGGTGGACCCTTGCGGGAGCGGCTGTGCGCGGGCAGGCGGGGCGCGCTGCTCCAGAGACTGAATAAAGTCCCCCTTTTTCGTAGTCGGCCTCGCCCTGGCTTAATTTTCTTCCAAGCATTCGAGAAACAGATGGTGCTCCGGGACGGCAGGTGGGTGCACACGGGGGAGGTGGTGGCCACCATGAGATCCATCCATGCTGAACACACTCCTTGAACACCTGTGCAGCTCGAGGCGCTGTCCTAGGCTGCGGGAAAATGAAGCACAAAGGCAGGCCCGCTCCTCACACCTGTGGGGCCACATGCCATCTATCTCAATATTTTAAAGGGTTTAGAAGGTATCCATGAAGCTAACAAGCAAAATCACATGCCCCTCCTACCTTGGCATATACACCTGCCGGACTCCATGGAATGCCCGGACCAATTTGGAATTCTCAGACTCCGTGGAGTTTGGTGCCATAAGTGGCAGCAAGGAAGGAGCTGGCCTGAGCCTGTGGCTCTTCCCACCTTCCTCTCTTCCCACCTCCCTCTTCCTACCTCCGGCTTTGCCCAGTGCCCCAGGGGGCCTGTGTGTAGGCATGTGGACGTCCCAGCCAGCAAGTCCCGGCTTCACCTAAGCCTCCACAAACAGTATCCCTTGGGCCTCAGGATAGGTCGACCTGGTGAAAATGTTCCTGCAGAAGAGGCCTGAGCAGGCCACGGAGGGGGCTCAAGGCACTTTCTGAGGAGTTTCAGGGTCCTGGTGCCCAGAGGTGTCTGGAGGGGCAAGCACAGGGCCCCCAGCCCTGTAGACTCCTCCCCCTGTGGTGGGGGCACAGTATAATGGGCTGAAGTGCCGGCACACGGAGGCGCATGTGCACACATGTATATGCTTGCACACACATGAGCACACATGCACACCCACATGGACATGCACATGCATGCAATGGACATGTGCACACACATTCGTTCACATACTTGCAAACACAGGCAGCACGCATGCAGCACATGCACAGAGATAGGCCTCTGGACACTGACATGTTTGGGTGCAAACCCTCCGCAGCCACAGCCGACATCAGCAGATAAAACCACCAAGCCCCGGAGCCCCTTTCACGGATGCCAGGTGCCGCGTGCACCACTCCCTCCCCACCTCGCTTCCCCAGCCTCACGTGGAGGCTCTCAGGTGCTGCGTGCATCCCTCCCTCCCCACCTCACTTCCCCAGCCTCAGGTGGAGGCTCTCCTGCAGTGGTAAGACCAGCTGGGCCTCTGCGGGTGCCTCTCCCGCCCTCTGCCCTCCGTGCCTCCTGTCCTCTCCACGCTTCCTGCTTCCCCCTTTCCTTATCCCAGGCAGGGGGCATGAGGAGTATCAAGTCCCTGGGCCAGGCCTTCTGGGATGGCTCGGCAGAAGGCTGGTCACCACTGCAACCGGAGGTGCCTTGCTGGAGGCCTGGGTGCCAGGATACAGTGGCACACCAACTCAGTGGCCCCTCAGGGTCGACACAGGCCATGCAGCAGTGCTGTGCCCCTCAGTGGAGCTCACCTTGGCAATGAGCTGGGCCTTCTGCGGGCATGTGGTCCAGCATTCACCGGGCCCTTCCAGCTGAGGCCATCACCACTAGTCCCCAAAGGGTGACTCTGGGGGCCATGTCCAGGCCTAGTCCTCTCTAGGGGAGGGGACGTGAGCTCCGGAGGCTTCCCCAGCACAATGCCCCATGGACCAGGCTCCTACACAAAGGCTCACGGGTACTCCATGCCCATCCACGATGCCCAGGGAGCCTCCTTGGATGGAGAGGACAGGCACAGACAATGCCACCTGTCCCAGGACCTTACTCTGGGTCCCACAGAACCGACCATGGAAAGGTTATAGTCACCCCCACTTTACAGATGAGGAAACTGAGGGTCAGAGAGGGGCAGTCGCCCACTGGAGCGGGGTTTGAACTCAGGCCTCCCTGTGGCTCTGGGGGCCTCCCAGGACACAGAACCAGCAGAACAGCCCAGTTGTCTCCCTCGCCCCACAGAGCTCTGGCCTCAAAGTCGCTGGTAGGAAGCCAACCAGGTGAGAAGTTAGTCCATTAACTACACTAACAAGCCTAGAAAAGCAACCCATTAACTACACTAACCAGCCCAGAAAAACAACCCATTAACTACACTAATCAGCCCATTATCAACCAGCTCATTAGCAACACTAACCAGGTGGGAAGCTAGTCCATTAACTACACTGTATCCATTGTGTGGGAAGCTAGTCCATTAACTACACTGACCAGCCCAGAAAACAAAACTCCATTAACTATACTAACCAGCCCAGGAAACCAGCCCAGCTATCAACACTAACTATAGTGGGAGCTGGTCCATTAACTACACGAACCAGCCCAGAAAACCCATTAACTACACTAACCAGCCCAGGAAACCAGTCCATTAACTACACCAATCAGCCCATTATCAACCAGCCTATTAGCAACACTAACTAGGTGGGAAGCAGTCCATTAATCATACTTGACCAGCCCAGAAAACAACCCATTAACTATACTAACCAGCCCAGGAAACCAGCCCATTATCAACACTAACTAGGGAGCTGGTCCATTAACCACACGAACCAGCCCAGAAAACCCATTAACTACACTAACCAGCCCAGGAAAAACCAGCCTTCCATTAACTACACTAATCAGCCCATTATCAACCAGCCCATTAGCAACACTAACCAGGTGGGAAGCTAGTCCATTAACTACACTGACCAGCCCCAGAAAACAACCCATTAACTATACTAATCCAGCCTAGAAACCAGCCCATTATCAACACTAACAGGTGGGAGCTGGTCCATTAACCACACGTAACCAGCCTAGAAACCTATTAACTACACTGTTAACCAGCCCAGGAAACCAGCCCATTAACTACACTAATCAGCCCATTATCAACCAGCCCATTAGCAACACTAACCAGGTGGGAAGCTAGTCCATTAACTACACTGACCAGCCCAGAAAAACAAACTCTCCATTAACTATACTAACTAAAGCCCAGGAAACCAGCCCATTATCAACACTAACCAGGTGGGAGCTGGTCCATTAACTACACGAACCAGCCCAGAAAACCCATTAACTCATACTAACCAGCCCAGAAACTACCATTAACTACACTAATCAGCCCATTATCAACCAGCCCATTAGCAACACTAACCAGGTGGGAAGCTGGGTCCACAACTACACTGACCAGCCCAGAAAAACAACCCATTAACTATACTAACCAGCCCAGGAAACCAGCCCATTATCAACACTAACCAGGTGGGAGCTGGTCCATTAACTACATGAACCAGCCCAGGAAGCCGGCCTATTATCCACACTAACCAGCCCAGGAGGACAACTCACTATGTCCGGTAACCAGCGGTCTCATGTGTGGTGCTGTAACCACCTAGTGCCGGGACTAGGTCACAACGGACGGGAACATGGATCAGGTCTGGTGGTCGGAGTCCGGGATCCAGGCACCACAGGGTTGGTGCTGAGTGAGGGCCTGCCCCACACAGATGGTGCCATCCAGGCGTCCTCGCATGGTGGAGGGTGGGGGGCAGAAAGTCCCAGCTCTCTCCCTCCTGCCCTTTGATAAGATGCCATCCGGTCCCAGGGGCTCCCGCCTCGTGCACAAGGTTGGTGCTCTGATAAAAAAGGCTCCCCCTTGGCCTTCCACTCTGTCCATGCGAGGACGCAGCACCCGCGCCCCTGGAGGACGCAGCAACAGGACACCTCCAGGACGCAGAGAGCACCGTCTCAGGGGGCTGTGACGCTGGGTGGGGGAAGGGGCCCTCCAGAGCATACTGAGTTTGGACGTGAACTTGAGCTGCATTCGCAGGTCTCTTCCGTGTGTGTGGAACGCTGAGTCTCCCAACACGACTGGGACAAAGTCCACAGTCCTGGGCCTGACCTCGGAGGCCCTCAGTGGTCAGGACCCGCCTTCCCTATGGGCCTCTGGAGGGCACAAGCATCGGCTCCCAGCACCTGCCTGGCTATGAGGAAGGGGACCCAGCCAGGACAGCCTCCGTCCCAAACCAGCCAGGCCCCATGTAGGATCAGTGCAGCGGTGTCTGTGCATTGAGAGACTGCCCATGGGTGACTGGGCCAGGCCACTCACTGCCCATCACTGCAGACAACTATCCAGGAACCCCCAGGCTGCCCCAATACCCCAGCTGCCCAGGCTGAGCCTCCGAACCATCCATCTGCACCCGCTCTGGCATGTGCCTGTAAGGTGGGTCTGCTGTGGGCACCGCCCAGGGAGGACATTCTCCTGCCAAGTCCCAGTCAAGCTGGGGGTCGTGGGCTCACAGCCCCGAACAGCGGCAGCACCTGGCCCCCTGCTATGCCCACTTCTCCCAAGCCACTGTGCCCCTCTGATCACCTTGGTGCCCTGGCCTCACCTCCCCACTATAGAATCCCAGCCTCCCAGGCCATGAGTCCAGACACAAACGGGTTCTCCCACACCAGACTTTGGGTCCTCGAAGCTCCCCAACTCGCCCAGTCCCCTGACTCCACCTGCCCTGAGAGCCTGAGTCCACACTGGCCATGGATCAAGAGTGGAGCCCGCACAGTATCCGTGCCATCCACCCTGGGCCTGTGGAGGCTGAGCTCAAAGGTTGGGGAAACTGAGCTCGAAGAAGCAGGCAGCCCTCCGGCCCCTGCTGGGCAGCAGCGTCTGACCTGAGCCCCGCGCTGAGCCCCACCCAGGAGCCTCCACCTCAGGAACCAGTCAGTCCCAGCTCCCCGCAGGGCAGGGCAGGACACAGGGCTGGGCCCAGTGGTGACCCCGTCCCTCCCTGAGCCCTGGGCCCTCCCCCCCACCCTCTCCCCTCCCCCCCACCCTCTCCCCTCCCCCAGCCCTGGGCCCCCCCACCCTCCTTTTTCTTGGGCACAATTCACAAGCACAGTGA